GAAAATTTGACGAGGATAAGGTAGTAATGAGCAAAAGCATAAAGAAAAATAGAAGTGCTGAAATGCTGCAGACAGTAGTGGTTGGTCGAAATTAGTCGCTCTGATTGACTGCGTTAGCAGAAAACATTTCACACCACCACTGCAGCTAATGAGTTTGTTTTTGTTTTTTTTTTTTGGCTTTGCTTTGGTTTGGATACAATTGCTGAAAAACTTTATGCAAAGCAGATATTTTGGTGCTTTTGCTAATTTTAAGCAAGCTGTACAAACACTGCTTAAAAATACAAGTACAGTGACGAAATTCGTTTTGTTCGAGCCAAAATTTCTCTACCAAATTTTAGGAGGATCAGTCCAGCGATTAAATTCAACATAAACAAGACCTATATGAACTAAAATCGTTCTACAAATTTTTATCGGGTCATAGGTGACCCTACCCCCATACAAAGTCCCTTTCACTAAATTACTTTAAAGCTCATTACTTGCTTAAAAATACGAGTACAGCAATGATATTCGACAAAAACAAGTTTCGTTCGAGCCAAAATCGTTCTACCAAATTTTATTAGGATCGGTTCTTAATTGACCCTACCCTCCATAGAATAGCTAGTTAATATCGATATATGTATGTATGATGGTAAAATTCTACATAGATGTAATAAATGAGAAAATTGTTTTGATAACAACAATTCTTAAATATCAATGTTTGTTTATAAGGAAGCTTCCCTTTTCGGCAATGATTTAATGGTGCGTATATAAGATTCGGCACATCCGAATATAACATTCTTACTTGTTCAAACTTATTTTGTTCAATCAGTTACAGAAAAAATATATTAAAGTCACACCCGTTTATAACGAACACCGGAGACCAGTCAAATTTGTTCGTTATAAGCGATGTTCGTAATATTATCTTTAATTGATGCTATTTGTTCATATACTTAACAAGCTTAAGTTTTTTCCAACAATATTAAACCCTGGTTTTTACGATTTCAACCAGGGTTTAATATTTAGTTTTTAGTTTTATTTTTTTAAATGTCGACTGAACTGAAGAAAGTTCAAGTATTTATTTTTCCCTCACAAGCTAACTGAAGTCAGTCAATTGTGTCAACGCACTGTTGCAATAACTTGCAAGTGGTTTTGTTTTTCTTCAGCAGCCACACACACACACGCAGCGGCCATGTTATATTTTTCAACTCAGCCGAACTGAACACAACGACTGAACAGTATAAACAGATTTGCGTGTGCTGCTTACGTATTGCTTAGTTCTTGGTTTCGTTTCCTTACTAAGGGACGTAAAAAAACTGATAGTTTGACTGGTTAGTACAAATCAAGCAGACTGAACAGTAAAACTTGATGGGTTGTTTGTTCATTAAGACTTTGTTATTGTATGCAATTTGTTTTAAAATATTGTATGTTTTTGTGTTTAAATTTGACAAAAGCAAATAAAGTAATTGATAATTATTGCTAATAGAAATTGTTAATTAATTTAAAATTTATAAAATTATAAATTACTATACTTATAAATTTAGATATTTTCTTTAAATAAAAATTGATTTAAATTTAAGCATTTTGATGATTCTTTAGTGAGATTTTGTTATTGTATGTATGTATGTATATTAGGGTGGGTCGAAAATAGGCTTTTCGCTCGGATCAACATCTAATAGTGAAATTATGTTGTATTTTAACGTCAAATGGAAGACTGTAAAATATTATTCAATTATTTTGAGGGTAAGAGCCCGCGCATCGCCGCCAAAGTTTGTAAATGCGTTTATATGGGAAAAATTGCACTTTTTGGAGTTTTTTCACAAAATGAGGCTTTAAGTATTAATTATTGCACCATTTTATAGCAAAATCGTAATGTCTACAAAAATTGTCTTTCCAAAAAGATGGAAAAACTCAAAATTAGTTAAAAAAGTTTTGAGTTATTAAAATTTCCCCCGAGAATTTTGTGATTCTGAAGACATATAAAAGTAAATATGTATAAGAAAATTTTTGTTAGTTTTGAAAAATTTTACAAAAAAATATTATGTTTATCTTTATAAGGTTCATAAATGTGCTAGTACGAATATTTCTTCAAATTGGATAACGCTTACTCGGTTTAGTCTGTGGTCAAAACTTTTCAAACTTTAAAAAATTTTGTTAAATGGATTATTAAAAATTAAAGTTTTCTATACTGGATATTATATATAGAATATATATAAGAATTAAACACAGAAAGAATGAGCTTAATACCTCTCATAGTTTTACCGTACCTGCGATGTGAATTTGAAGGATTTCGGGAAAAAGGCAATTTTTGCCAATAATTAAGTAAAAATTATATTACATATTACCAATTGTTGCTTAATCTTGATCAAGTAAATTGCGATTATTATTTCCGAGTCCATGGAAAGTTAGTTCTAATCAAATTTTCGAAACTAAAAATCATTAACCCTCTAAACACCGGGGTCAAAAACAAATTTTTGAATTTTATGTTCTTGAAGAAATAAGAGCATGATGTTGTTAATTTGTTGATGGATATTGATGAAACTTCTTAGAAGTTATTTTTACTACATTCAAATAATAAGATAAACCAAATACTGGATATATATCCATTAAATCTTTAAGAAAATTTATTTTAGAAAATTCCTTTTTAAAAGTGTTTTTTGTAGTGTTTAAAAAATCGGTCTTGAATTGACCCCAAGTATGACAGAGGGTTAATTTTTAAAGAAGTTTGATTCCTAGATTTCTGGATATATTTTCGTGTAGTTTGTCAAAATGAATTCATAATTAAATAATCAATATTTTGCTATTTTTAATGAAGAAAATTAAATATACAAAAACTTGATTTTGACCCCGGTTTTTAGAGGGTTAATGATTTTTAATTTCGGAAATTTTATCAGAAATAACTTTTCATGGACTCGGAAATAATAATCGCAATTTAATTGATCAAAATTAAGCAACAATTGGTAATAATATAATTTTTACTTAATTATTGGCAAAATTGCCTTTTTCCCGAAATCCTTCAAATTCACATCGCAGGTACGGTAAAACTATGAGAGTTATTAAGCTCATTCTTTCTGTATTTAATTCGTATATATATCCTTTATAATATCCAGTATAGAAAACTTTAATTTTTAATAATCCATTTAACAAAATTTTTTAAAGTTTGAAAATGGAGTTTTGGAGATGCTGTTAAAATAATGGCCCTTTTTTGACCACAGACTAAACTGAGTAAGCGTTATCCAATTTGAACAAAAATTCGTACTAGCACATTTATGAACCTTATAAAGATAAACATAATATTTTTTTGTAACATTTTTCAAAACTAACAAAAATTTTCTTATAGTTACTTTTATATGTCTTCAGAATCACAAAATTATCGGGGGAAATTTTAATAACTCAAAATTTGTTTAACGAATTTTGAGTTTCTCCATCTTTTTGAAAAGACAATTTTGTAGAAATTACGATTTTGCTATAAAATGGTGCAATAATTAATACTTAAAGCCTCATTTTGTGAAAAAACTCCAAAAAGTGCCATTTTTCCCATATAAACGCATTTACAAACTTTGGCGGCGATGCGCGGGCTCTTACCCTCAAAATAATTGAATAATATTTTACAGTCTTCCATTTGACGTTAAAATACAACACAATTTCACTATTAGATGTTAATTCGAGCGAAAAGCCTATTTTCGACCCACCCTAATATACATACATACATACAATAACAAAATCTCACTAAAAAATCATCAAAATGCTTAAATTTAAATCAATTTTTATTTAAAGAAAATATCTAAATTTATAAGTATAGTAATTTATAATTTTATAAATTTTACATTAATTAACAATTTCTATTAGCAATAATTATCATTTACTTTATTTACTTTTGTCAACATTAAACACAAAAACATACAATATACTAAAACAAATTGCATACAATAACAAAGTCTTACTGAACAAACAACCCATCAAGTTTTATTGTTCAGTCGGCTTGATTTGTACTAACCAGTCAAACTATCAGTTTTTTTACGTCCCTTAGTAAGAAAAAGAAACCAAGAACTAAGCAATACGTAAGCAGCACACGCAAATCTGTTTTTACTGTTCAGTTCGGCTGAGTTGAAAAACTTAACATGGCCGCTGCTTGTGTGTTTGGCTTCTGAAGAAAAACAAAACCACTTGCAAGTTATTGCAGCAGTGCGTTGACACAGTTGACTGACTTCAGTTAGCTTGTGAGGGAAAAATAAATACTTGAACTTTCTTCAGTTCAGTCGACATTTAAAAAAATAAAACTAAAAACTAAATATTAAACCCTGCATACAATAACAAAGTCTTAATGAACAAACAACTCATCAAGTTTTATTGTTCAGTCGGCTTGATTTGTACTAACCAGTGAAACTATCAGTTTTTTTACGTCCCTTAGTAAGAAAACGAAACCAAGAACTAAGCAATACGTAAGCAGCACACGCAAAACTGTTTGTTGAAAAACTTAACATGGCCGCTGCTTGTGTGTGTGGCTGCTGTAGAAAAACAAAACCACTTGCAAGTTATTGCAGCAATGTGTTGACACAGTTGACTGACTTCAGTTAGCTTGTAAGGGGAAATTTTAACTAGTTACTATTTTTTAAGCATGGTACTAAATTTAGTCAAATATTTAGTAATTTGCGACTGCAATTAGCAGTTTTTTGAAACCCTGATTTCAACACATAAGTTCGTTATAAAAAAGAAAAATTGTATGAAACTGTACTTTAGGGATTGAAAAAGTAGTTCGTTTTATCCGAGGATTCGTAATAACCGAGTTCGTTATAAGAGATTTTTTTAATGAAAATTGTTACCAAAATAGTTTGAAAAATTGTTTGTAATGGCCTACTAACCTTGGTGTGAATTTCATCCAAATCGGAAGATTTTAAAAATTGGGCCACTTGACACGAAATTGGCCATATTAATATTTATATACATATTTCCATGTTATTTGTTATATCCATAACGAGAATAATCGAAATGAGTTTTAATTATTAAAAAATATTTTCTTTTAGGTGGAAACCAGCGGAAGGGCAAACAAAACATATTGCAAGAGTTACATTAAAACATTCTATAGAACTGACGAAAAAACTACATGTTTTTGAAATGGATGTTGTTGGTGAACAGGTATGATTATTACAATATTTTTTATCGCCAAGAGGTGTCCAAAAATATCGATTATCAGATAGGTCTTATTTTTTATTACTGGTGTAAAATTTTAATCCAATCGGATAACGGGAACCCGTGCCGGAAATCGATTGAAAAGCGTAAAATTGGATAAAAATAGGACTTTTTATTTTTTCAAATAATGACATTCAAATAATATTTATTTATTAACTCAAGTTTTTGACAATTTCTCAAGCCACATAAAATTTTTTTTTTTGTTTTCTAATTTCTTCTACGTACAACAAAATATTCTACACAAAAATGTTAGTAAAATATGTAATATAACTGTAATGTACTTCATAAAAAATACTTTTTTATTATTAATTTAAAAAATCAATGTTTCTTGAATTTAAATTTCCATTATTTAAAAAATATGAAAAATAAAATTGTTTCACGATAGCAATTTTTTTATAAATCAGGTATGGGATCGCAATAAAAAATACATTTTTTTAATAAAAAACGGCCAAACCGACAAAAAATAATCGATACTTTAATTCCATCAGGAATACAATTTCCTGAATCAGCAACAATGAGCCAGTTAAGATGTTTATAGGATTCTGTGCTTTTGAATCAAGCCCATAATGATTGAATTCTTTGTGAGCAGATTGTTTCTCCTGTTACTCTCGATTTTACTTCTGTTTCAAAAATTGGTTTATTCACAACTGAATTTTCAGCAGCAACAGCTGATGCAACATTGCCTATAAACAATGTCATGCCAAGATATACTTCTGTTTATTCCAGTTTCTCGAGAACCTTTCCTCCTGTTACCACTTCTCCTCTCAAGGATTAGAACTTTTTTTAAATTTGAAAAAAATATACTAATAATTATAGTTATGCTTTTATGTTTGAAGTGGTTATTGGAAGCAACAGCTAGGGAATTTATGGAAAATTCAAGCAATTGGACATACAGTCATTTTAAGGAAACTCTTATGCAGGATTCAGAAGCCTTCAAAGAGCGGGCATGTAAAATAGCAATGCCTGAAGTAGTCAGATCTAATATTTATGGACTACAGGCGTAGAATTAAGAGGAAAAGTGGAGTGGCAAAATTGTGCTTTTTTACATTTCAGCTAATTTTGATGTCCTATAAAACCCAATGAATGGCAGTTACACACTTAATACTGTTAATAAATTATAAAAAACTAATTTTGCATAACTCTGGCCCATAGTGCAATGTTCGTCTTTCGAAAATTTCGATAATATATAATTTTAAAAAAATTATTGTGAACATAACCTATAAAGTCAGGGAACTATTTACACAAAATTTCATTGAAATCAGACTCTGGCTTCTACAGCGCTAATATAGACAGCCGGCTTATTTTGTTTTCAATATTAAACCATGTATACCATAATGTTTTTACTCTTTAAAAATTTTAAAAATAGCTACAAAATTTTTTAAGGTGAAGTTTGATCTTTATATATATTTGGTGGGAATATTACTCTGACCACATTGTGACCACCAATTTTGTCAAGTTTTATTCGTATTTATGACCTGTGACACTATCTAAAGTTATGGATAGACATACATTGCACCATGGGCGACACGAAATAACTCCCAATGAAATAACACCGAATTAGGAAAATTAAATTACTCCCAATGAAATAACATCCAATAAATATGAAATAACTTCCAAATAAAAAAGTGAAAAAACACCCAATTTTAACGAAATAACACCCAATTAAATCTACGATGTAATTTTCAAAAATTGGGCTTTATTTCATTATGAAATAACTCCCAAAAAAAGGAAATAAAGCCCAAAGAAATATTTCCCAAAAAAATGAAATAAAACCCAAATATGTTAAATTCAAATAAACGTTTTTATTAATCTTTACAAAAATACTTTCATGGTTTCTACCACCTGACGGCATACTGGACAATTCAATTGTTCATTGTTGGAAATAGCCTGAGCTTGTAATTTAAGGACACATTGGTAACACATTTTCATGTGTCTACATGGCAAAAACAAAGTATTAGGCTCTTCATTTACACAGACTAAACACAATTTAATTTCTATGTTGCGTGGTTCCATATGATCTTCTACATCGTCTTCTTCAATTTCCTCTTCCAAGTAGACCAATTCTTCAAACACATCTTCATAAGGTTCCATATCTGAGCATGTCCTGTTTTTTGGGTATACCATTCTATTGAGAAAGGTCGCTGAAGTTATTTTTCCTTTTTTTAACTCATCAACAGCTTTTTCAATTTTTTGATTTTTTTCTATTGCCGTCTTCCTTCTTTTCACCTGTCCAAATAAACCACCACTATTTGCAAATTCTTCGAACTCGCGGCTTTTGGAAAATTCTTCTCCTTGAAGAGTTTTTACAAATTTGAAAAAGTTTCCATGTTTTGGGATCATTTTCCCAAGGACGCCATTATATGCTTCTAAGGCTGATGTTGTTCTTGTCGAATTTTCGGAAACAGAAATTCCTTCTGGGCCAATCTGTAACAATTAAAAAAATTAGAAACTGACTAGTTAAAATATTGAATTTATTTACCTTTTTTAACCAGTGGCTTTCAAAATAATTGAAGAAGGGTGTAAATTTAAATTGATGATCAATTTTTTCGGTGTCATCTTTTATTTGTTGGAAGGAACTAGTGATGTAAATAGGTGGTAATAAAGGCAAGCATAAAACTTTATGATATTCTATCGACGCTTTTTTATTTTGTCTTATAAATGTTGCCAAGTCCTTATATTTTGTTGTAATTTGTCTTCTCAAGGCTTGGCAATAATGGAACCAGCATCCATATATTTTGGAACCTTCAAAAACTGTTTTAATACCTTTACGGAGACCTTGCTCATAGTCCGCTATGAATACAGCTCCATTTAAATTTAAAATTTCTTCATTTATATATTTAAATAAATGAATGTATCCTTTTGAACATTTTTTATTCATTAGAACAAATGCAAACGGAAATACCTTAAAAAATAGAGTTTAATTATCATTAATACTTAATGATTAACTTTAAGCAAAAGCTTATAATTAAAAGCAGAAGATGTTTTGTAATGAGGAAGGATGGAAAAGCGCCGCAGGCGAAAAATTTTTGTAACAGAAATTGCGGCGATTTCTGTTACAAACCTTTACTAACCTTTTCTAAATATTCAATTGTTATTATTATAAGTTGTTTGAAACAACCTAATGGAACCACTGCAAAAGTTCCATCAATTAAAATTTTCCTATTGGAATTTTCGGGAATATTTTCTTTTATGATGCCAACAATTTTATCTGACACAAAAACGCAATAGGAAAATTCTGTTTGTTCGTGGCAAATTTTAAAAAAAGGCGTTGCATCGTTGTGTTTGCTAAGTCCAAAATTTTTAAAAACTTCTTCTTTTTGAAACGCCTGTTGCACATCATTTGGTGTCTTTGGAGATGTCAAGAAAACTTTGCTAGTTAAATACTGCAACCCACGTTGAATTTTGGAAAAATCTATGTTTTTTGTAGCATCGTGGGATCTGCATGTATGCAAAATATTTTCAATATGTATCATTTAAAATTAATATTGGTATTTACTTACCTATTGCAGACACTTTTGAATGTTTCCCTAATACCAGTAATTGCATTTTGCTCATTGATGTTGCACAGTGGTATAGGAAAAAAAAAAGAGGGAAATAATTCGGTAACTTCTAAACGGTTAATCCGATTTTAATGAAATTTGGTATGCACAAAGAGGAGGTGTTGTCGAGTTTAGGTTTTGAATTTGGACCTTATAGGCCAACCAGGGGCCCGGCGGGGGGTCCTCAAATTAGGACACCTCGGCTATGTTAAATTTTTAAAACGATCCTATTTCTTCATTTGAGTTCCGATTTAAAAAAAATTTCGTATATAGAATCTCCTCATCGAGCACTATAAAAAATGTCGTCGTAGCAGTAAATTATCTCTTATAGTTTAGGAGATATTCGCATTTGAATATTAAAATTTTAAAATTTTTACCGTCCTTACTTTAGTTTTTTTGATAATAGCAGGTCCAAATATTTCCGATTTTCGCCATTTTTTTTTATTTGCTTAACAACAAGTTTATATACCAAGCAGTGAAAGAATTATGTAAAAATCATGACTGAGTCCAAAGTTATAGGCATTTAAATTTAAAAAATTAAAAAAAGGCGATTTTTTGTCATTTTTTTGGGAAAAAAGTATCTTTTTCTTTTTAAGTTATCTAAAAAGTTTCTAAGAAGATGTATATAGAATTTATACTTTTTGGAAAGCTGACTTTACATAAAATACGATAAATGAAACAAAACCTAAAAATTTTTGATACCGAGGGGACCAGGTCCATCCAAAAAAACCCTATTTTTTATGGAAAATTAAATTTTGAGCAAAAATTCTCAAATCGCATAGTCGATATCAAATTATAGTGACCTGTTTTATATGACCCAATAAGTTCTTAATCATTTTGTAACGGGTTTCGATAACCCCGCCCCTGGTATGGATATAATAGGCAAAAAACCAAAAAATCCCATTTTTGGGATTTTTTAAAACTTTTTTGGGAATTCCGGGATTTCTAATAAGAAAATTCGAAATTTTTATTTAATTTTGGATTTTGAGTAAAAAAATCTACCTAACTGTAAAATTTCATCAAAAAATATTCATAAATAAAATTTTTATTGCAATTTGAAAAATTTGTATCTTCGCAAAAACTGAATAAAAAACATTTTTTAATTTTTTTTTAAAAAAGTATTCCGCGAATTTTTTAATTTTCAAAAATTATATACAGTTTTGAAAAATAGACAAAATTACCTTTCCATTGATATATAACATGCCTACCTAATGTTTTTTAAGGGACAAATTAATTAGGGAAAACTCAACATCTTTTAGAAAATTTACCTAGCACTATTATTTTCATCCATATATGTAACAAATTTAAGAGTTAACCTTATGGATGAAAATAATAGTGCTAGGCAAATTTTCTAAAAGATGTTGAGTTTTCCCTAATTAATTTGTCACTTAAAAAACATTAGGTAGG